AAGGACTCTGCTTAAAAAAACAAAAAAAAGCCAAAGAAAAAAACCCAATGACATGCCTGCTTATATGGAAAGTAGTGAAAATAACTTAGCTATTCCTTGGGAGTATGTCTCTGAAATGAACCCCCTTTCTGATTTGCCGACTGAATGCCAAATACTTACCAAACCTAACCCCAAATATGATGAACTGTCTTTATAACCCCCCGTAAAGCCTCCTCTTCGATCTTCGTCATATTAATTACCCGTGATCTGAGTCGTTGAGGTCCACCAGACTGGGATTTATTTATTTTTCATTTATTTCTTTGTTCGTTTTGGTTCATCCCTGGGTTTATCACACAGGACCTGGATTTGAAATCAGCTCTGCCACCTTCTGGCTGGGTGTGCTCTGGGGTGTGCTCCTTAACCCCTCTGAGCGTCCAGGTCGGTCGGGGTGCAAAGGCATGGCGATCAGGAATGTGCTTCTGCCACGCGAGTCAGGTTTAACTTAAGGGTAAACCTGCAAGGCAGACCTTAGCGCGTCGGTTTTTCTGCCATCGATGGGGTGCTCAGTCGATGTTGTTTCCCGTTAATATTAAGACAGATCCATTATGGCCACGGGATGGTGGCTCGATGCATTGAATCCTGAATCTTTGGAGGCCTAGACGGCGGCCGGATCACCTAAGGTCAGGAGGTTCAAGACCACCTTGGCCACATGGCCGAAACCGCTGCTCTCTACTTGAAATACAAAAATTCACGGTGGGCCAATCCAGTATCAGGGAGCTGAAAGCAGAAATAAACCTAATAGGTGCAGTGAGCCGAGATCGCGCGCTCACCCATGTCAGCCAAAACGACCCCTGGTCTCCCAAAAAACAAACAAAAAACAAGAACAAATCCAAATATAGTATTTTTAGAAGACTCAGATTGTCGGCGTTAAGGAATGTTAGGCTTTAATGGATGGAGGTGGAATTCAGTGAGACTATAGGTAGGCTGTCGTAACATGTCATTGCCTTCAGACATTCTATGGAGAATTGTTTGAAACCTCCTGTTTGTGATTCTCTGTTTCTGATTTGTTCAGGACAATTAGAGTAATCAGGATCAGAAGTGTCTCCCTGTTAATTTAGTACCCTTGGACTTGTTGAGTTTAGTTCTCACACTGTACTAAGAGAGTACCTGAACTGGTAATTTATGGGAAAAAGAGGTTGTATTGGCTTCACAGTGCTGCAGGGCCTGTGTACAGGCAGAGAATACAGCACCTACTGGGCATCCATCACAGAGTGGAAGGTGAAGGGGAAGCTGGCACTTTCATGGCTGAAGGCGGGAGGAGAAGCGGGGGAAGGGCTGACCAACTGTTTAAACAAAATCTCGATGAGGACCCCAAGCACCAAGGGACTGGTGCTATAAATCATTTGTAGAGGAACTGCGCCCCATGACCATCACTCCCACCAGGCACCCACTTCCAGACACTTGGAGGATGCAATTCACATGGGAATTTGTGCAGGGACAAAATCGCAAACCAGTATCACTGACGCAAGAATTAGATAATTCTTTATCCTTTTCCTTGTTCTGTCAGAAGTTAACTGCTTCGTCCTTTTGACTTCCGCTTTTTTCCGCTGCCATCCTGCTGGCGCTCTACTGACTGTCTGTCCCTAAGTGGATTATTTTCATATCCCTGGGGTGCAACGATTTCTTGTAGAATGGAGGAATGGAGGCAGTTGAACGAAACTTTGTGTATTTATTTATTTATTTATTTATTTATTTATTATTTCAGAGACCGGATCTTGCTCTGTGCCTAGGTGGAGTACGTGGCACCGTCACAGCTCAGCCTGCAGCCTTGACATCCTGAGCTGAAGCTATCCTCTATGCCTCAGGCTCTCAGTAGTTGGGATTACAGGCTCACATCACCCATACCTGCGGTTTTTTTTTTTTTTTTAATTTTTAAAAATATTTGTTCAGTGCACAGGTCTCGCCGTTGTTGCCACGAAAGTTCAACTCTGGTGGCTCCAGTGATCCTCCCACCATGGCCTCCCAAGTGCTGGGTTAATGGGCCAGTGGCCCCATACCCAGTTTGAACAGCATTTAGAAGTGTTAGCACGTTGGAGAAGAGCTGTGATGGCAATGGCTCTATCCTTAGGGGAAGTTCAGTGTGGACTCCGGGTTCTTTTGTTTTTTATTTCCTGTTAGTGATGATCTGTAGAAAGCAGAACGTGTTATTAATTGGACTTGGTTGAAGCTCTGAAATAAGGAGCATTGTTGAGATATTGTATGTGGGTTTTGTAAAAATATGGATTCTATGCAAAAAGGTTGTTTGGGGACCCATGTCCGTCAAGCAATGAGGAAGGGTACATCAAATGCTAGACAAGCCATTTTACACGGATTTAGTAGCGCGTCGTGCTGGATTTAGACCAGTCTGGTTGGGATTCTGGGTTCTGTTCTCCCTGTGTTTCTGACCTCTCCCACCCCCCCCCCCTGGGTAGCAACAGCATTTCTTAGAATGAGTGAATGGAGGCAGTTGAACAGAACTTTGTGTATTTATTTATTTATTTATTTATTTATTTATTTAGAGACAGGATCTTGCTCTGTGCCTAGGCTGGAGTACCGTGGCACCGTCACAGCTCACTGCAGCCTTGAACTCCTGAGCTGAAGCTATCCTCCTGCCTCAGCCTCTCAAGTAGTTGGGATTACAGGCTCACATCACCATACCTGGCGTTTTTTTTTTTTTTTAATTTTTAAAAATATTTTGTAGTGACAGGGTCTCGCCTTGTTGCCCACGCAAGTCTCAAACTCTTGGCCTCAAGTGATCCTCCCACCATGGCCTCCCAAAGTGCTGGGATAATGGGAGTGAGCCACCATACCCAGTTTGAACAGAACTTTAGAAGTGTTAGCACGTTGAAAGACTTCGAGGCAATGGCTCTATTCCCTTAGGGAATTCAGTGTGGACTCGGTTTTTTTTTTTTATTTCCTGTTAGTTGACTAATCTGTAGAAAAGCAACTGTTATTAATTGGACTTGGTTGACAGCTCTGAAAATAAGGAGCATGTTGAAATATTTATGTGGGAGTGTTTGTTAAAAATATGGATATTCTATGCCAAAAAGGTTGTTTGGGGAACCCATGTCTAAACATGAGAAGGGGTACTCAAATGCTAAGACAGCCATTTTACACGGTATTAGTGGCGGTCGTGCTGGATTAGACAGTCTGGTTGGAATTCTGGTTCTGCTTCTTCCCCTGGTTTGACTTTGGGCGAGCCACTTAGCCTCTCTGTACCTATCTCCTCATTTGTAAAATGGAGATGATAACAGCACCTCCTTGTTGGGGAGGCCATAAGGTCATAAAGTTGTACAATGTAGTGCACGAGGCATAGTGTGTGGCACGGAGATCCAATTCCTCATCAGCTGGGGTGCTCAGCACACTGCAGTACTGTCTGGTCAGCTCAGGCTTTTTTTTTTTTTTTTTTTGAGATGGAGTCTTTCTCTGTCACCCAGGCTAGAGCACATTGGCGTGATCTCGGCTCACTGCAACCTCTGCCTCCCAAGTTCAGGTGATTCTCCTGCCTCAGCCTCCCAAGTAACTGGAATTACAGGTGAGCACAACCACACCTGGCTAATTTTTGTGGTTTTAGTAGAGATGGGGTTTCACCATGTTGGCCAGGCTGGTCTTGAACTCCTGACCCAAAGTGATCTACCTGCCGTGGCCTCCCGGAGTGCTGGGATTACAGGCATGAGCCACTGCTCTGGGATTACAGGCATGAGCCACTGTGCCCAGCCAGCTCAGGCTTTTATCACAAATACCATACACTGGGTGACTTCTCACAGCTCCAGAGGCTGGAAAGTGTAAGGTCAAGGTGCCAGCAGATTTGGTGTCCGGTGCTGTCCCCGTTCTTGATTTGTAGACAGCCACCGTCTTCCTGTGTTCCTCACATGGCCTAGAGAGAGATCCTCTTTCTCAGGTGTCTTATAAGGGCACTAATGCCATCATGAGGCTTCCACCCTCAAAACTTAATTACCTCTGGCCGGGCACAGTGGCTCACACCTGTAATCCCAGCACTTTGGGAGGCCGAGGCGGGTGGATCATCTGAGATCAGGAGTTCTAGACCAGCCTGGCCAACATGGTAAAACCACGTCTCTAACACAAATACAAAAATTAGCCGGGCATGGTAGCAGGTGCCTATAATCCCAGCTACTCGGGGGGCTGAGGCAGGAGAATTGCTTGAACCCAGGAGGCAGAGGTTGCAGTGAGCCAAGATTGCGCCATTGTACTCCAGCCTGGGGGACAAGAGTGAGACTTTTTCTCAATAAACAAACAAACAAACAAACCCCACAAAAATTAGCTGGGCATGTTGGCATGTGCCTGTAATCCCAGTTACTAGGGAGGCTGAGACATGAGAATTTCTTGAACCCAGGAAGCGGAGGTTGCAGTGAGCTGAGATTGCACCACTGCACTCAAGCCTGGCAACAGAGTGAGACCCTGTATCGAAAACCAATAATAGTTGAC